AATGATATGTGTATAAGAGACAGATATATATATATATATTAAAAAAAAGCGCAAGAATTTGAATACTGCATGGGCAGAGAGACAGCACAGCTTAGGGAATCGTAGATTTTAATATACTTAAATTGCATCTGGAGCTTCCTCACATTTTCAGATGTTCCACAGCCTCTCAATAGCTAAAGCTGGATGTGGGGAACACATGAATCATCATAGCCAGTGCTAAATCTGACAGGAAATAATAACTCAGACATAGTATTTTCCAAAGATGCTGAAGTGGTAGCTTGAATCTTTCCCATCTCAGGATATCCATGATCAGTGAAAGAGCCTGAATGAATGTGAGCCTGAAAACCATTCTGAAGACTGTAGGACAGACTTTACCTAGGATTATTCAGCTTCCATTTGAGCTTCATCTTCTGTCTTGCTATATACGCTGAATAAGCTGCTTTTTATGCAGGGACATTTTGTTGTGTGACCTGACAAACCACAGGTGCCTAGTGTTATTTGAGGTGACCTTGGGTATTCAGAACAGCTGGATGGGGCTACTAGATGTATTTTTTGTGAGATGCCTGCAGTCTCCTGGTGTTGGGAACCACACAGTAAACTGTAGGACAGCTTAGCTTGAATTGGGAGTGACAGTTGTTAGGTGAAGACACATTCGTCCATCCATTAACACTTCAGACAATTTTTGCTCTTTGTTACCATTAGGAGTGTTAATGGAATATAATACAGTAATGCAATCAATAGAACAGAACTTGTAAAGGAAAGAGTTTTAAATAAGGGTCTGGATGTAAGAGTTTCACAGAAACAATCCTTCTTGATACATTCCTTTACATACAAATAAAGGAACATAGACAGGTGATAAGGAATGACAGTAAATCTCAGCCCACGCACAAGGATTTCAACACTGTTAATGGAAGCTTGGCATATTTATCCAGCAATGAGGATACACTTATTGTCATGATATATTATTGTTCTCAAAGTGTCAACAACACAATTTATGGTAGGGAATACTGAAACCAATTTATTATTGACATTTTTCTTTGACGGTATATAAGAATGGCTATAACTGCCTGGTCCATTATGGTCCTTAGGTCCAGTAAGCTGCCTGAAACAACATCCAGAAGTGGAAGTTCAAACTGGAAATAATTGAATTTCTGGAAATATCTGAGCCTAAAATGTTCCCTAGAAAGTAGTACCTCTGTCTCTGTGGTTAGTGGCTATGATGTACCTGCCATCCACTAATATTTAGACTTTTTTTGTACCCTAAATATTTTTGACACCCAGTCCTTTGGCAAAGAATTCCAGAAATTAACTTGCATGCTGTGTGGAAAAACACTTCCTTTTGTTTGTTTAACAATTAAATTTCAAATTATTTTATTTATTAATGCTGGCTCCTATGTTATGAAGAACAGTCACACTACTGATTCTGTATGATCCTATTAATGTCTCCAAGTCATTTATGATATTTTATCTCTCCATACAGATCTTCTTAGTCAACTGGTTTCTAAGTTGAATACTAGTAATCTATTTAATCTTTCCTCATATGGAAGCAGATTCATAAATACATGCAACATAAATACAGCAGTTTGATGTAAAGTTATACATATATAACTGTACATATATATCCATAAAAATACACCAAAAGAGTGTAGGGGCTGAAAATATTCCAACGATATAACAGTACATTTCAAAATTGTGAATTAATTTAGCATTGTCTTGGTTCAGTCATAACGGAATAGTTATTTTTGTATCTCATGCCCCTTCCTCCCTCTATCAGTCATCCTTGTAATGAATACCTGGAAGATACACACGATCTTTTTGCCCACCCACCATGGTGGATCATGCAAGTAACCAACTATGGTGTAGAAAAATCTCTTTTATGAGAAAACTGATTAAATGAAGTCTTGTGACAAGGCAAAACTCTATGAATATCATGCTTGAATCAGACATTTAGGTGTAAACCAAAAGTTTACAGCCACAATTTCTTACCAGAAAGTTTTGTTTTGGTACGTACACAATACAAACTAATATGTATGTGTGTATTTCAATGGTGACTCAGATTTAGTGTTCAATGTTTGTCAATGAAAATGTTAATGAATTAGAGGCTAATAGTTAGGTAAAAGAAGAGATGTGGAAATGATTAAAAATTTGGAAAAAGAGAATGAAATCGTCAGATGAATAGTTCAGACATATAAGACTAAATAATTATTTGTCTATCATATTTATGTTATGTGTCTATTCTGGAAATAAAAATTTATGATACAGTGCTTTCTTCAGCAGACAAAGTGATAATGAGACCCCATAGCTGAATCGTGCAGTAAAAATCAGAATCAAACTCACTCAAATTAGAAATAAGGTGTTCGTATTAAGCATGGTAGAAAATGATCTGCAACATTTATCAATGCTTAACAAGAGTTGTTCAATAGTGAAACTGTCAAAATATGAAAGTGTTATAGTTCATCAAGAATTAAATCACAGCAGCCTCATTGCTAGTACTCTATTGGAGGACACATTAGATGACCATCACTAACACTCCAATGGAAAACTTATGAATTGTTTTAAAACTTACCCAGTACCCAGAACAATCTTTAATTATCCATTAACACCTTCCTCTGAAATAGTCTCAAAAAGTTTTTCAGTAAAATACTGCAAGCTGTATTAAAGTCTGATGGCCTTGAGTTGTATTAATTTGTTTCATGATTCACTGATAAGCTGCAGCCTTACAGTACACCAGTATGCTGCTACTGTTGGAAGTGACAGTTTTAGTCTACGGTAAATCATCTTAACACCCTTTGTGAAAGACTAATGAAAGCATCTGTATTATTTCTTTCAGCCATCATATTCTGAGTTTGATATAAGTGGAAATGTGCTGGGACTGATCTTTAACCAAGGCATGATCTGGTAGGTGTGGCAGAGCATGTTGCATCTGCAGAACTGCAGGATTTAACTGTATCTGTGAAAGACTCTTCTGAAATGCTGACCCTGTCCCATTGCTCTAGTTTGATGGAAGTGTAATAAAATATATATCAAACTCTGGTACACTGCAATCAGTGGGACCACTTCAAAACTAGTTCTGGACTAAGATTATGGGATCAGATGTATCAGAGTTTTGCAAAGAGCTGGTAAGACCAACCAGTAAAAAGTTGCATAGATGCATCTTATCTTTTTGTTGACTTACTGCTTGCGAGAGGAAGCACCTGGCCTGTACTGTTTTGCTTTGAATTTCAGCCTTTCAGAATACCTTACCACTCTTTTCCCATTTATCCTATGAAAAAAAAAAAAGTATTAAAACAAATATATGTACGCTTATTTGTGCAGGCATGTGAATGTGTTACTGCTGCAGTATTAGTCCTCCCATTTTTGGACTTACATGAGTGTTGAAGAATACTAGCATGTAGAGTCCTCATGAAAGATGCTTAGTCTTCTAAGGAACTGTCCTCCACAAGCTCTGTTTACTTCTCAGAGTTAATTCTTGCTACTTTGCTGATCAGACTTTTTGGTTGGTGAAAGCCTTCACTTCTGTAAAGTCCAAAGGTTATGTGTTGTGTGCATGTCAAATAAATGCTGCAGAAATATGGCAAAGAAAGAAGCTGAAAATATCTTGCAGCTCTTGCAACCAAGTCCTGTTGTGGGGATGTACTGAGGGCCCTGGCAGCAGCACTTCAGCAGCTTCATCAGAAGGAGGGTATATTGCTGGGGAGGAGCACAGCACAACCTATGGCTTTGTAGTGATGGCATGCCATGAGTGTGTGTCTGGAGGGATTCCAACCCCAGAATGTGAGTCACCTACAGTGTGTCCTGCACCTTAGAAAAGCAGCTTAGCTTTGTAATTGGCATCTTGCTATTTGCCTTAGGACTGACATTCTAATTTCTGACATGAAACATTTGTCAGGCTGCTGTTCATCAAAATGATGAGGCTGCAGCATAAACTCTGCTTGAAATTTTATGCACAACTGATGGCACTAATAGTTTTATTGCTGTAATTAACATTTTGGAAAATAGGTTGGAAATCAATCTCTACCTGAGAGACATTGAGGACTGGGTGATAGAGCTGATTCCTGATTATTCTCTAACAAAACTTTTATACATACCTGTCATTTTTATACTCTATTACATATACAGATTCTGTGCACTTCTAAGCTGTCATGCCCCAATATACATGTTCTGGCACAGAAACTGTGGCTTGTGCTTTTGTGATGTTTTTGATATACAGCATCATTTGGTTTACTGCTTATTGCAGGATTGAGACCACATTTACATGCTGATTTGCAGGGCCAAGTAAGTACTAGAGCTGTAGTGTTCTTCAAAATAATGTCTGATGATTTAAACTGAACTAAATACACCAGATGAGTAAAAAAATATTGACTGAATAATAATAAACGTACATTGCAAACCCGATGTTTATCATTAATACATACACGGGGTAAATTAGTTTCTATTTTATTTGAGCTTTACAAATACTGTTGCACATGCTTGTGCTCATCTGAAACAGAATCAAAAGAGGTTCAGGTGCAGCTGGTGAGCTGGCACTATCACAGAGCTAAAAAGGATACAAGAGCCATGTATATGTGCATTTATTTTTGTGTATGAGAGAGAGACCATGCACTTAGGAAAAAGTCTCTTCTCTTTCCCTGTGTTTTTACAAAGCAAGCAGGATGCAAATAATTTACAAGTCTTCTCCATATTAATAAGCTTTGGTATGAACTTGTCTACTGTGTAATAAATATTATACTGAAATATTATAATAATGACCATAAATCGTCCATATTCTGAGCTTGTTGAAACTGAGTATTTTGCAACTCATTTTCATAAGGGTAAGGAACAGGGCCATGAGATGCTCTCTCCCTTCAACTGTAAACTATCAAACCCTTTATCCTTTCATGGAAGAAATATGAAAAAAGGAAGAAGAGATATGAATATATGATAGAGTCTATCATATTTCTGTACTCAGAAAGTCTTTCCAATGATGTAGATCTATTTCTTACTTTTTAAATAGAAAAATTGAGGCACTCAGAGGCAAAGCAGATTCTTAATCTCTTACATTCTTTATGATTTGGCAATGCAAATGAAAGAAATTGCTCTTCAGTCAGCATGACACAAGTGACAAAGCATGTTAAAAATAAAATGGTCCTAACTGTTTCAGTGTCATAACCATGCAGCCGTACATAATAAAGAAAAAATCTATTTAGCAGAATCAATAGTTTGTTGGAATGAAGCACTAAATTGTCATCGTAATAGAAGCAAAATAAACGTCAACTAACCAAAAGTATCCTTCCTAAAATGTTGATAGTGTATTAATAAAAATAATAAAGAATAAACTAGATTATTCTGGTAATACCTAGTTTTAGGGCTATCCTTTTTTATACAACACAAGTGAGATGCTATCTGAACTAAAGGGACAAAGTAAGAGTGGATAACATTTCATCTGGTGATCTTTTAATTTACAGAGAAAGAAGGCTTTGTAACTTTGAAACATAAAATGTTCATATGGAAAATTCTCTCCATACACCTCTTGTTCAAGACTGAAGAGACAAGAGTGGTGAAAAACCTATAAAGATGGTTTCATCAACTTGATTTCTGAGTACAGAGTGTGTATAGCTGCAAAACACATTGATATAGGGAATGGGTGGCATATGTAGGAAGACAGAAGTCCTTCAACAAAGTATTTGTGGTTTGTTTTTTTGTTTTTGTTTTTTTTTCTTCATTTCTAGGATGGGATCTTTTTATGCTCCATGTCTCCCAGCAATCAATGTGTTCCGTCTCCACACTTCGATGTACTTACAGTGCTGGGCAGTCATGTGCTGCAACGTTCCCCAAGAGAGGGTCTTCAAGGCTTCCAGATCCAATAACTTCTACATGGCCATGCTGCTTTTCATCCTCTTTCTCTCCACACTGCCTGCGGTGTACACCATTGTCTCCATCCCCCCATCTTTTGACTGTGGTCCTTTCAGGTTTTTTTTTGCATTTTTCATCCATCTCTTGTTAATGATTTAAGGAACCACTTCATCATGTCACAGTGAATGATGCAGTAATAAAAAAGTACTTCTATAATAAGTGTTGGTACCTGATAGGCTGAGTATTTAATTTTGTCATATTTCACATTATGGATATTTCCTGAAGCTAGAATCCTACAGAACTCTGTAATTCTTTAAAACTATTTACATGAAGTGTAGAACAGAATACATTTTCTTTTACTTAGTTGTAATGTAAAAAAGTTTCATTTCTGCTGAATGTAATTAAGCCAGAAATCTACAGGAGCAGAAATCTTGCCACATTAATTTTGGCCAAAGGCTAGTACCTGGGAGATTTTTTGTCACCACCTGCAATATTCAGTCACCTAAGAGGGAGAACTGAATGACATGCCAAAAATTCTGATGAGACAGAAAATTCCTTGAATTTATGGAAGCCATGATAACAAAGTGAGTGATGGAAAGTAAGATTTTTTTATTTGAGTCATAGCAAAGAAAGTACAGAAGGAGACATCTGGAGTCAGATCTGAGTAGCTGCAGTTATTGAATTGGATATTACTGAAATGATAAGATTATTGTACAAAGTGAGAAAGATAATAGTGCCTGCAACTTTTTCTCTGTCAAATGCAGATACTTTGTTGTTCATAAAAAATGTGAAATCTGCAATGTAAATTTTGATGGGGGAGGACTTGAAACCAATGAAGGTTCATTCAACCTGGGTATAGGTAATGCTGCTGTTGAGCGGCCAGTGGATAAGTACTGGTAGTATATGGCTCTATATTAAAAAAAGAAAATATTTTCCTATTGGTAACTCAGTGTCTCATCTATCATGAACCTTCTGATTCTTTTGGTATTTTTTCTGTTTTGGTTTGATTTTTTTTAATCCATCCTTAAAGGCAACATATATGATTTAACTGAGACCTGACAGGATTAGGGAAGCCAGGACAGAATTGGCAAAGTTGCAACAGAAGCTCTCCGTGTTCTGAGAAAAGATCAGGAGAGCCCAGAGTGGAATTTCTCATTTACCATGGGTAGGCTGGGCAAGTGGAGAGAAAGACATGATCTGAAGAAGAATTCTACCTGCAACCTTTTTACATTACTGGGAAGAGGATAATGTTGAGAACAATGAATTAACAAAAAGATCTCATTGTCAGAAATGTTTTACAAAAGCTGAAAAGAGATGACAGGAGACCTTAATGACTGGAATATCAGGTGGCAATTTGATGACAATTCCTTTAACCAACTAAAAAACCACCAGTTAGTATCAGTACAGATAAGGACCCATTTTGCTGGTCCTGTTGAGGTAAAAAAAAAAAATAAAAATCAAACTCTATATTGTGAGGCAGAATCAAAAGTAGAATAAAAAGAAAGGGACTTTTAGATTATTTATTAAAAAGCTACCTCAAGAAAAACTTAATGGTCTAGGAAGAAAATACTGTCTAGATAAGATGGTCATGGAACAATTGTGTGTAAAGATTATTAGTCTGCTGTAACAATAACAAAAATCTCTTAAAACCTAGCCACTGATTTCTATAGCATTGGTACACAGCAAAGAGAGAAGACAATTAGGCTGAACAGTACTGAACAGTAATCAGTTGCAAGCAGACCATTTTTTGCTTATCAATCATACAAACATGGGATTTGAATTTTTCACCAGAACTTCATAGAACATAAATTGCACTTCACTCTTTGGTGGGTGGTATGGACTTCACAACTTGGTGCACTGTTTCTTCGAGTAGTAATCTTGCAGTAACTGCATGCAAAATCTATTACCATACAATGAAAATATTGGTGTCTATTTTACCCCTTAAAAAAAATAAATACTATTTTAAATAATATTCCTTTCAGGGTGTCAAGTTTTAAATAATATTTACATATAGCTTATTGTCCTTTTCCCAGTTTTATATGATGTGATTAACCTATATATCCATACTACTAGATTGACATTGCCATAATATTTGTATATGATATATTGTCAACTTTTCTGTTTAATAGTGGGAAAACTAGAATGTTTGAAGTCATATCAGAAACTCTGGAGCATGACTTCCCTTCTTGGTTTGGAAAGGTATTTGGTTATGCCTCTAACCCTGGACTCATCCTACCTTTTATATTGCTGATGGTGTACGTATAGAATATTAACTCAAAGCTTGCTTAATCTAAGGTCTGTTAAGTTTCCTTCACTCTGACTCTTCATTGTCTGTATAATTAAATACAGTGTTGATTGCCCTGTGATGAGGGATTTGAAGAATTCATGAGCTTTTTATTTGATCATAATTAATGTGCCTTTGCACAAAGGGTAATATCTGTTTTTATTCAATAGATTTCTTTTTGGTTATTACTTTTCAAAAGTGTTGTTGCCACAATAATGACAAAGCTATTAAAATGCAAAAGCCTACAGGGGATCTGAAGTGCTATTACTTTGATCAGCTTGTCCAGTAGGCAGAACAGCACATCACAAATCCTTAGCAAGTTCAATAGAAACATGACCACCGTGAAGGGATGTTGGAGACTATGAAGTATAGCCAGTAGATATTTTTTGTAAGTCAGTATCTGGTAAAGAATACTGACCTCAGCGTAGCCTTTCTCAGAGACTGTTCTGAGTCCTGCTTTATAAAGACATTTTGAACATATGCCAGATAATTTAACATACTATTGAACTAAAAGTTAATTCTTTGTAGAGATGAGCTGTGATTTAACCCTGCATTATAGAACTGCCAATAAACATGGAGAAGATTATAGAATACAATAGTATTTACAGAAGGATTCTGCATGAAGAAAATGAAATTCTGAAGTAGAATTTTGCCAAGGTTCACTTAGTATCATATTCTATTTAAACCCTTGGCTAGAAAAGCAAAGAATCCAGACTGTCCCCTGAAATACATGGTCAACTCCTACTGATTTTATTTTGAGTGCTATTCCTTTCTTGGAATGGTCCAAGGCAAAGGTACTAAAAATAAATAAAGAAAAGGGAAAAATAAGAAGGAAAATACAAGGCAAAATCAGGCAAAAGAGAGAAAACACACATGCAAATTAATTATTTAGTGCTTACATCAATAAAAGACAATATCAGAATATCTGTAATTAAATCAGGATAGTGAAAACCATTAATTTCACAGAGTTATCACAGAAGTAATACAATACACTGAAAAATGAAAATTATATTACGCCGTTATGTTTTTGTTTAGCAGAAGAAGGAGGTCATAATTAAAAACAAAAATTAAAACCCATGCTTTTGGCTGTTTTCTTGGCAGCACTTGAGTCTACCTACTGTATTAGTTCAAAATCTGTTATAAATATGATTTACTCATTTCCAAGGTATGTCATACAAGTTAATTAACTTCTATAAGTTATTCTTTCGAACACACTTCATAGTGAGGCATACTTTTATGGAACATCTTCCTTAACTACTGTAAGATTGAATGTAGAGTATTAATAGAACAATTTCTTTCCGCTTTTTTTTCCCCCTGAAATAACAGTGTCTTCTTCATACTGTGAGGAAGCACATTGTTCATTGTCAAAATACTACTACTGATTAGGCACGATAAATGAGGAAAAGATGCAGGCTTTATATTAGCACAACTGCAGTTGCTGCTATAGAAATGTTTCAAGAGTCTATATTTAAATCATTACCTAACAAGAAATTATTTCTCTTTAAATTTAGCTTGAGTATTTATTATCTCAATGCTACATCCAAATCCTACAAGGAAGCTAACCTGGAACTTAAAAAGAAGCTACAAAGTGTAAGGAATAGAGAATTATTGATTTTTGGTTTTACTAAATTTTAAAGAAGCCATTCAGGTCACTGAAAGATGCTCTTTCTTTCTCCCCATCATTAGCAAGCAGAAGAAAACAAAAGAAGAAATAAACAAAAGGCACAAAAATCAAATGAACAAGAGGAAAATCCATTTGAGACAGAACCTCCACAGACAAAGCAAAAAGGCAAGCAAGACGAATCCACTCCAAACCAAGGTAAGGACTGTTTTGAACTCCTCAGGATGAGGAATTCATGTATGCAAGACCATAGTCTTCCTCACTGCCTTGACTGCTTCCTTTCCCATAATCTCCTGAAAGATATTCACAATACTGAATCACAAGTATTAACTCAATCTCCAGTCCATTTTTCTTTATTCAGCTCATTTAAGAAATACTGTAACATTATTCCACATCAGGCAACACCAAAACCACCTGTAATAGAGCTGTGAAGAATCACAAGATCCCAGCCCCACAGAAAACCCCACTTAAAACCTGGTCTGACTGTCAGTGATCCCTTTTACCTACAACAAACAAGTCAGGTCTAAATCTTGCAACCTCCTACTGTATTTTTTTTTAGCCAGGACTGCTTAGGACAACATTTGTCCTCTGTGCCAGGTTTACCAGGTGGAAGTATAACAAGAACGCAGTACAGTATCAGTCCTAATCAGAAAGTCTAGCTTGGTCAGGCAGGTCTTCAGTCTGTCTTGAAGGATTTTGTAGGCTGGTTCCTTTCCCCTTGGACTTTCACCGTCATGCATACAGCCAGTATAGGCTCAAACCTAGCAGAGAAACACAGATTAGAGATGACTGTCTTTGGAAGAACCACATGCAAGGCAGGTCTGCAGCCTCAAAACCTGACCACTTAACTTTGAAATTGCTACCTTCATTGTCATTTATCGATGCTATCTAAGTGCATCTAGCTACTCGGGAAAAGTCTCCACTTTTTCCCACTGGGGCCTTGCTGAAAGGACTGGAAGGAAAATACAATGCAAAGATCATAAAGGTGCATGACCCCAGATTTCAGGCTGTTGGCAGGGGAGGTCCTGGACTTTCCACCACACTCTGGAGTGGTCAGGAAGATGCAGTATTTCTCTCTCAGGGCATTTTTAGTTTTCAGGTTCATTTTTTAATTCTATTCTCCAAAAACATTTCAGACAACAAGAAAGGACAGGGTGACAATGAAGCGAAGAAGACGGACCAACCACAAGAAGCCAGCTCCTCTCAGGCATTCCAGCATCCAGGCCCTGCCCCGAATGGCCACTATGCCCTGCAAACCAGAGGAGGAAACCTTCCTCCTCCATCCATAGCTGTGACAAGGCCACCAGGGCCCAGGGGGTATGGAATGCTGGGCTATCCACCTGGAAACCCACGCTTCCCAGGGGCCCAGCCAGGAATGCCCAGGGGCCCTCCCAACTACAGATAAGGACTCTCAAGCACATTGTGATATGCTGGGTGTTGAAGGACAGAAGAGTGGTCCTAAACCCAGTCACACTCATGCAAGCGCAGAACTCCTCTGTTTGTTGTAAATCTCCACGTGCATAGACGTTACCCATGTGCTTCAGTTTTTGCAGGATGGGAGGCTTCAGAAGAAAACATTGCATAAGTATTCTTGCATTAGAAGGCACTGTAAAATTGCATTATTTGTGTCAGTAGGTTACTAAGGGATATTTATTGGAAGATGTTTATTAGAAGACTGAGAAACATTTTGTATTTAGTTGCTTATTTTCTTAAAAGCCTGACAGTGCATTCCTAACATCTTTTCCTTTTTCTCAGAACTATAGTTCACTGAAAACAGTTTTGTACAAAGGGTATGAGAGTCAGTTAAACACTGCATATAGCTTGTCTTCTGCAGGTCAGATATGCTTACCCAAAGATTTCAGATTGTACATGAGAAAACTAGGATCCTTTCAAAAGCTGGATGATTACCTCTAAAGTCTTTGGGAAAGTATTAAAAAGGTAAAAATACCCCAATATTATGCCTGTTGTTACGAAGAAAATTTAACTCCTATTATAGTACTACTTTTGGCTAATACTAGTTTTATCACAAAGACTAAAAATAAATTTTAAAAAGCAAAGTGGTGAAGAAATATCGCCTGTGCAGAGAAACATATTTGAGGAATAGAGGTAAGAGAGTTATGCAATAATTTTCTCCAAATACTCATCAGGATTGTTTTATGGCAGAGAGACATTTATTATATGTGCTGTATAACCTACTCTGTGGATTTATCATTTTATACTTGTATTGATCACTGTAGAGTTCAGGGTGGAATAGGTCCTTAGTCTGTTAGGTCTTGTGGAAACGCAGGATAGAAGGAAGACCGTATGTGAGCTAATGTTACTTATTCAAACCAAGACAGTTTTATTTTTTATTTTCTATATTTCCCTGTCCAGAATTTGGGCCTTGTTAATTATTTTAAGACTCAGAAGATTAGTAACAACAAAATTAAGCAACTGACTTTCTTCTAAAAAAATAAATGTAATTCCATTGGGGGCTTTCTGTATAATAGAGGTCAATTTTGTACAGTAGAAAAACTTCATATCTCAATATAAAATGTCCATGATATCACAGAACAACCTTCATATAATTGTGGCACGTATTGAAAAAGGTTTACAAAAAAACCCAGAATAGACTATGTATCCCCATAAAACACAATGATCCAGATGCAATTTCCAGCTCAAGCAGTCTTTAAAGCAATGGCCAGAAACTCTGAGGATAAACCAAGGGAAAGTTCACTTTATATTTGACCTGACTCTTGTACTGTTCCCATAAGCATCTGCTCTCAGCTGGAAATAAGATATTAGAACAATAAGATTAGTGGAGACCAGCATGGCTCATATTCTGCACGTAAACGCTAAACACTGATAACCAAATAAAGAGATAAGTGTATTGCAGTAACTACAAGGGAAGGTCTTTTCTAGCAAACATACTGGGAATATGTTGTTAATAAGGAAGAGGACAAGTAAGTTTAGACTGGATCCCAAGACATGTCTGCATCTAGGGTACAGTACCTCTTGTATTTTAGATTGGAGAAAGTGCAGTTAAATGAAGTGTAAGTTGTTTCATCTTTCTCAGATAAGATTTCTAATATATGGGCTTCAGACGTGGAAAAAGTACAGTAATTCAAACCATTAATTTGAAATCTTATTGATTAATTTTTAAACTGCATACATTTTTAGCCCAGAAACTTATAAGATTGTCACTAGTCTGAAGTTAAACATGGGCCCAAGTCTCTAGTGTTTCCATGCTTTTAAGGCAAACTTTTTCCTACAAGCTGGGATTGATACATCCTGAGACACTGATTTGCATAATGGTCTTAGCTCATTGTTTGTTAACATTTCATAATACAAAAACACTGGATGTTCCTGAGAAAAAGAAATATTTTTTTTATAGCACAAGTGAAGAAACTGATTTTAAAGATGCTTTATGGCTTTGTGATCTGCCTGAATTTTACAAGTGGTGTTGGAATAAATTGGAGTTGTAAACTGGTTTTGATGCAATCTGGTTCCCTGAAATGTAGAGGGAGGTTTTTTGCTACATACACAGAACTTAATAACAGTTCCTTACGCTGTTAGGAGTGAAAATATTACGTCAGTAATAAAGGTTTTCTCACATTAACAGGCTTAGTATTTCATTCTGTGGGATTGCTTTACATCATGAATGGGAGAGACACAGCAAAGAATCCACCATCTGAGATTATTCTGAGGAACTTTGTTAGACTTGTATGCTGTATTGATTTTTCAACAATAAATATGTTCTCAGAATGTACCTGTATATGCAGTGATGAGCATGTAATAGACAATGTGAATAACAATAACAAAAATAGATGTTGCTTGCGCCACATAATCAGCATAAGACTGCTGTGACTGAAAATTAAATATTTATTCTTAATCATTGGTACTCCTAAGTAAAGGTCTTTTAACACTGCGCCATGAAGCTCTGCTTTTGATGCTTCCTAGCTTAGTTATTTTTAATTGCCTGCCTTCTTATTGATAACATAACATCAACTTAGCAGACAAGACACGAAGTCATACATTTCAATGTTCTATACTAAGTCCACCTTTAAGAAAACATGGTGTTTACTTCATAAAAGTAATCGAGATTGATACAATAATTTTGCATGATCAGATTTCTAGTCACATTTCCTTTCTGTACAACCTTTCTCTAACCCTCCCATATTTTGAGCCTTTCAGTTAAAATTTAACTCTGTTTTTTTTTTTTTTTTTTAAAAACTTACCCACAGAGCTACTCTGAGTCTTTTACTGTGCTAAACAGGTAACTAGTATTGTCAGTGGGAATAATACTGTAAACCATGGCAAATGATCTTGCTTATAGAAACAGAATATATTTTGTTTTCATTGGTAACACATATGCTGTTTTCTTTCTTCTATGCTATTAGACATGCAAATTGTGTTAGGAATACCTCAGAGCTCTAGTATACAAGTACTTGCAGTGAAATCAGGACTCAGTGCATCTTACCATGTCCCACATCTTTCTCTACAAAATTTACATGTTGTCTTCATAGAATTTGGCTGAGAATTTCCTGTAATTTTCTGGTAATAAAAGTGTGATTCACTACATGAGTGTACCAGTACAGAGGGACCCTCAAAATATTTTGAAGTTCCTGCCAAAGATTTAATTTCTCATTGATCTGTGAAAATTATAATTACTGTAAAATGATTATGGAATACATCTCCCTTTTGCTATTCCTCTTTTCAGCTGTTGAATGGAGTGTTTTTACACAATTACAAAGTTCTACCCTGGGATTATGCAATGCTTTCAGATGAACAGGATGCAAAAGGATGAAAATAAAGTCCAGACTTGAATGAATTCACAGCAAGTGAGAGACAAGACTCTTTCTAACATATTGTTTTCAACACTAGATTTGTGGTACCTGGGAACTGAAAATAACTAGTACATGCAAATAATAACATCCATGGAGATCTGCAGAAATTTAGAGCTTTATAGAGCTGACAGAGGTATAAATACAAGAAATAATTTTATACTCAAAAATTTAAAAAATTCCCCACAATATGCTCATTGGAAAATTAGCTGTAGTTTTCAGCTGTGCTGAATCCTTTGCTTCATCTTCTAGTCCTCTGTGAAAAAATAGGCTATTAAAATTATGGCTGGAGATTAATTTCAAAAGCAGGTAACTTTTCTGTTTGTTCTTTGTTGAAAAATGAGTTGTATGAGTTCACTGTGAGGTTTATGCTGTTCATGCCACATAACCAGTTCTGTATTAATTCATTGAAATAACCAAATGGACCAAAAAAAAAAAAAAAAAAAAAAAAAACCCCGAAAAAAAAAGAAAAAAAAATGGTGACAAAACCAATATTCCCCTAGCTCTTGTAGAAAAGGTCATTATAATCAGAAAAACACCCATGTGCTGTGGTTGTAAAAAAGTTATGAAGAACAGTATTTGCCTAAACTAAAGAATAATCTGAAGGTCATGACAGAAAGTTTATGGATATGACAAACTCTGCTTTGTCTACACTTTACAGTCTATAAAGACTGGCCTATAAAAACATGTGTGTGTGATTCTGCTGTGTAACTGATGTTACCTACCAGGCTATAAGCATACCCATTGGTAGCTATGCTTCAAGTTATTAAAGTCAGGCTAGTAATAGAATGTACACTTTCTGTGAGTTCTCTGTTTTTTCCATCTTTTTCAGATCAGCTAGTGTCTCTAATGAATTCATAAGACTAATTATCACCCAGTAATTGGGAAGTAGCATTCACCATTGAGGTCTGTTGTTACATTATGGATGTGGGACTTAACTATAGCATAGTTTGGAGAGACAAAACACATAAGCAACCACTGCCTATCTTGGAACTGTGGGGGAGAGGCTGCAGTCCTCATGCCCTGGCACAGGGACACTGTCCACCGAGACACACTGCTATACTCCTTTGGTGCATTAGCTACATCTGGGAGAAACTTTGTCACTTTTTATTGTTCTGTTTTGTGGGTGGAAATAAAGGTAATTCCAGGGAGTTCTGTCTGAGGAAGCAGTAAGTGGAAGAGTGACACTCCCTGATCGTCTGGCTGTGGCTCAGCCTGCTGGCTCAAGAACATGGGGGTCATTTCAACACCGGGCTTGTTCCAGAGGGGCATGGTGCAGTAAGCTTTGCAAGCCACAGCAGGGGATTCAGAGACTTTCCTCTGACAGCTCAGTGATGGTGCCCTGCAGCGCTGGGGTTGGATACTCAGCTCCTTGGGCACAGCTGTGTGGAGATGAGCTCTCTCACATGGCTGATTCATGCAGTGACGCTAAGGCTGTTCACAAGGGAAAGACCAAGTCAAAGCCACTAGGGTGCCATGATAATGGTTTGTGAGATTCAAATGCCAGCATGGTTTCTTGTCAGATATTCACTATTTCCCTGGGTGAAACTGGGCTGTGAAACTGCAGGGCTTTGGTTGCTGCAGTAATTGCTTTGGAAGGGAGCACAGGGGCTCTGAACAAGAGCTGCCACATCTTGGTTTGAGCCAGCTGTTCTCCCTTGGTCTCCACAAGGGAAACAAGTCACAGCCTTGTCCACATTTTTCCTGCACACTTTCAATTTAGCTTCTTTCACTCAGTACCACAAGCTAGAAGCTGTCTCTCCATGACCATACTCCATCACGTGCAGTCACAAAGTCCTATGTGTACATACTGTATATTAAGTATGTTCATTTACCTAAATAGCAAGGTTACCCAGGGAATTCACATATGTCTGTGTTAACAAAAGCCACAGAACCAAGATATTTTTATTGCAGTAATTTTTTGTCTTTTTGCCTAAATACTGTAGTAGGAGACTGTGGCATAAATTACAGATCCTACTGACAGCTTGCAAGTAGAAATGTTTATAAGGTTAGGACCCAAATGTACCACCAATATCATATTTGGGTATTATACTTTCAATTGAAGTATCTGCTTGTATTTACACTATTAGAAAATTTTAGGTTACTGTAAAGAGCTGAAATATGTTTGGCATTAATAATAATAATTCAAGATAGCAATAAATATTGTCTCCCTACATGACAGGGAAACACTTGAATATACTGACCTGCGCTTCAGGGGTCTGATTCTTTTCTCCTTCTTATCATGAAGGTCTCAAGAAAGGAGATTGTCTACTACATCAGAATTTTTTTCTTTCCTTTGAGACATAACAACTCAGCTGCAGTCAGTTGTAGTAGAAAGCTATGAACCACATCTGCTGAAGTGTTAGTAAAATAATAATAAAGAGTACTGCACACTTTATTTGAGGATTTCTTTTGTCCTTGACTTTTTGATGGAAGATGTTTTGTGTCTTTGCACGTATTTGTAATCTGTGCAGCTAACATCACAGTTATTTACATTTGAAAAACTATTTAATTTTGAAATTACACAAAAAAAGAAGAATTTCCAAAACTTGCTGTTGATTTTCTGCTTAAATCCATTCTTATCATGTGTGCATTGCTATCATATAATAACTAATGAGGTTTGTGGTAAATTGTTTATCACTTACCATTTGACTCTTTTGCTGGTGTCCTTGTCAGCTCTCCATGGCTGTGGGGAGAGCTTTTAATATTTCAGCCTTTTAATCCATGGTGAAGAACTTCCTAAAAAATAGAACCAGAACATATTTTCCCTCTCTTTCTTGGAATTAGATAAAAAATAATCAGTATATAAGATGTAGTCAATAATAGTTATAATCCATTATCTCAAAATACCACAACAGGAAACAAAATAACTATATTGGAGATATTTAAATTGCATAATTCTTAGGGAAAATAGTTTTCAGTCAATATAAATTCTACTCTTTTGACCTTTCTGACTAAAAAACTGTATCTGTGATTAACCCAAGTGATTGACTCCACAAATGAAAAGCTACTTTTATTCAACAAGCTAATCAAAAAAGACTCAAAAAGCTAGCAGACTATTAAAATAATTTTTTTGCAACTTGATGAGCCTTTTTTTTTTTTTTTTTCTACTAAATGAAACATTTTTTAAGACCTGGAAAAATAAATAGAAGAAAGCAAAAAAGAGTTATAACTGTAGAGAAAAAAAAAACCCAACCCTAAAATACTTTAAGAGATTCTCAAAGTACAAAGGGAAATCTTCAGCAAAATGCCAATGTCCACCTGTAAGTTGACATCAATCTAATACATTTTTTATATAAAGTAACAATCTGATCTTTTAGTGTGACAGCATGAAGCACAACTTCTTTGTAATCAACATGGGATTTGTTTCTTGCTAGCTGAAGGGAGATGTGATATTTCAGACACTTTACCTTCCTTTCTCTTTGTTTCTGCTAGAAGAGTGAAATAAATGTATTCTCAGTGTTTTTTGTCAGAGAATTAGCTTGCTTTTTTTTTTTTTTTAAATCACTCAATGACTGCTCTGCAGATGGAGGCACTGCTCCAGACATCTTGCATAAAGGATCTTGCATAAGGATCTTATTAGAAAGTCTGCAAGATACATTCATTTATTTAAGGGAATCATGTTTAAAAAAATGAGGACATTTTTCCAAACACCTTGTAAGCCTTGTTGTTGCTTGGAAATAACTAAAGCTGAAAGCCTCTAAAATCTCTTATACCACTCTAAACATACGTTCTTGTCAGCAGTGTATAGCACCAGCCTGGTACCTTCATGTATGTCTGATAACCTCACATAGCAATGATGTTGGGTACCATTAGTTTCTTTTCATCCAGATCAATGTCAGTCCTACCTAGCATGCAAAACCAGACTGACAGCTCTGTCTGTGCTACTGCTGCTCTCACGTGCTGGATTAGCATCACGCAGATGGATATTCTCAGATTGTGAACTGTGCTCCTACTAATATTGTCTGCTAAATTAAGTTCCTGGGAACTTGGCATTATCTGTCACCAAATGAACCTTGCTGCAAAGTGGAAAGCAAGTATTTTGTCATTTCCACGCACAGAAGAAAGTGGCATAACATGCATTGGAACTGAGATCTCTGGGAACTTGCTGCA